GACGGTAAGCAGAGATGAATAAATAAGAGAGACTTGTTGGTGAAAATCCCTCGGGGCACCACTAGTCGAAAGTGAGTCGCGAAGCTGATGCAAAGAATTGGCACGAATAAGCCCGACTTCAAAGCTCATAAGAATGACAAAAGGGAAGATTGGATTAGTTTGATAGATCAGGCCGTTGAGTCCAAAATGCATGTCATGACCATTAAGGCTAGTTATTGAAAAAAGAAGAAGAAGAAAACTCTTCCTTCTGTCCTTCCGAAAGGGGGCATTTCTTGTTAATATTATTTCTTTATAGCATTGTGTCCTTCCCTCTAAGTCAGTCCTTGTCAAAACAAGCAAGAAAAGATTTCAAAATCTGCTACCAGCTTTTCAATTGCACAAAGTAAATTTGGCCAGCACACTCGGTTGTTACTGTTAACATGCCTTGAGGATTCATGCAAAGGCTCCCCCAAAAGACTCTCATCATCCTACTTGGCACAAGTAAAGACACCTCGTGATTCTCTCTGACGGACAAATTGCTCAAAAGTAGGAAGTCGTTTCAAGATATCAGAAAATGTCACCTAAGAAAATATCTCTAGTTGAGATAAGGCTGATTGAGCCACAAATACAAATAGTACTGGATGTGAAACAATCAGGGTTAATGCAGAGCAAAAGTCTCTTGAGATCGACTCGAGCAGAAGCCAAGCTGCCCAAGACTCAAGGCCACAAAACTGACCACCATTTTCAAAACTGACAAATTTTTCTTTGCGTGAAACAGGAACAAAGCAGTGCAAGGAAAGTGGTTCAAAAAAAAAAAGAAGAAAAAAATATAAAATAAAGGAAAGAGAAGAAAAAGAAAAAAAGAGAAGAGACTACAAAGGGAAGTTTCTCAAATCTTTGCCTTTATTTGTCTTGCTATGTGCATAAAACCTTGCCATTGATCTTTACATTTTCCTCCTAGGATAAAAAGTCCTAGTCTGATGGATTTTCCTCCCAATATAAATCTTAGTCTGATGAATCTTTCTCCTAAGATAACAAAAAAGAAGACCTAGTCTGATGAATTTTCTCATAGGATCGAAATCTTAGTCTGATGAATTTTTCTCCTAAGATAGAAAACCTAGTCTGATGAACTTTCTCCTAGGATAACGTCTTAGTCTGATGAATTTTTCTCCTAAGATAGAAAACCTAGTCTGATGAATTTTCTCCTATGATAAACGTCTTAGTCAGATGAATCTTTCTCCTAAGATACCAAAAACAAAAAAAAAAGAGAAAAAAGGACCTAGTCTGACGAATTTTCTCTTAGGATAACGTCTTAGTCTGATGAATCTTTCTCCTAAGATAGAAAACCTAGTCTGGCGAATTTTCTCCTGGGATATTTTGAAAAAAAAAGGGAAGTTTGGATTTGAAAAAAAAAGGGGTCAATTTTTAGTTTTCTTGAGTTATCAATGTTTAGTTTTCTTGAAAAAGGGGTTTTTACTTTAGTCAAGCTTAGTTTATTGTTTTTCGCAAGCTCAAATACATTTAGGAGACGTACATCCTAGTGTAGTCTTTAGTTTACTCATCATTGCATCAATAATATAAGAGGTTTACAATATTGCTAACAACTCACAAATCTTCCTAGTGCAAACTGGGGCAGAAAATTTCGTTTGTTTTGTTGGTTTTGATTGCAGGCACTCACATAGAAAACAAGGGAACATAGAAAGTTTTAGCAGTCAGGCGCCCACCTGGAGAACAAGGGAAAACGGTTCAAGTTTCAAAGGAAGACAGGTCAAGTTCAGCAATCAGGCGCCCACCTGGAGAACAAGGGGAGACAACTCAAGTTTCAAGGGAAAGCAGTTTCGAAGGAAGACAACTCAAGTTTCAAGGGAAAGTAGTTTCGAAGGAAGACAACTCAAGTTTCAAGGGAAAATGGTTCAAGGTGCAAGGGAAAACAGTGTCAAGTAACAAGAGAAGACGGTTCAAGTTCAGCAATCAGGCACCCGCCTGGGAAATAAGATAATTCAATTCAGAATGCAATTCAGGTCAGTAACAAGAGAAGCTCGCGTCAAGAAAGCGAGTCAGCAGTCCGAGATGATCAACAAAAGTGAGTCACAATCCAAAATAAAAAGAAAAAAACAAAAGAAAGATAAGAATTGAATCCAAATGCAGAAGTTAATGAAAGATGTGAGCTGCTCAAGACATGGCTGAGGTAACAAGCTCTGCATGTCCCGTCTTGATTTGAAAAAGCTGAAGAAGATTGAACCAACACCTGCAGCTAACAAGCATCAAGATTTAGATCAGAGTCCGCATGAAGAACCAACCAAGACTCAATATCAAGCTTCAGAAGACTCGTAGATAGGAATCTTGTAACTCGTAGCTGATAGACTTAGTTAGTCTTTTTCATTTTTGATTTTGATGTAATAACGGAACCGCGGACCGGAACCTCGACAGCACCTCAATCGGCTCTCCACCTCGGCATACTCCATCACCTTATTCACTTCTGAACTACATGTGGCCTGATTCCTTTATAGTCAAGGATATGTAGGCAGCTCAAATACCAGGGCTCGGTCACATTCTCCTTTCTCTTAGTTTTTGGTCTCCTTAAATAAGGGTCGGGTAAAAAAAAACCCTGTCTAGTCGTTCTTTGTCTGAAAACTCTTCGTGTTTTTAGTCAAAGAGGGGCAGCTGTAGACATGTGATTTTTGACCCTCCCCGAGATTTTTTATATTTTAGCATGTAAATATTTAATTTAGGCCTAATATAGCTATTTCAACTCGTTTTTACTCTGTTACTTTATTTTATTACAAGAAAATTAAAAATTACAAAAAATAGTTTCATTGATGTTGTGTGGTCATTTTTAATCTTGAAAATACCAAAAATAGTTTTGTTTTAACGATCAGTCTTATTTTAATAGTTATTTTACTTAAGTAGGATTAATTAATAAATAAGATCGCATTTTTAATCTCGTTCGCGGGGAAAAAATAGAACTTGGGCTCAAGCAACCCATTTTTAGGCTTAATTTTTGGACCTAGTCCATAATTACCAAGCCCATAATTCCTACGCCCATACCCCTAACCTAATACCTACCCTATATAATAGTACCTGCAACTAAAATATAGACCAAGAAAAAACAAAGAAACAGCAGATACCAAAAGGGAATAAGAGACCATCGTCTCTAATGACAAAAACAGAGAAGAGGAGCTAACCTAAAATTGAGAGCTTAAAGCGGCCACCCGACTTTTCTAATTAAAAAGGAGCTCTCTCACCGTGACTTCCTTAATAGAAACAACAACATTTGGTTGTTTGGTAATTAACGGAAAAGGAAAACACAAAGAGAACTAAGAGAAAGCTTTTGCTCTCATCAGTTTGGCTACAGCCAATTCTAAGCCGTTTGAGTTCGTCGGCGAGTTTTGATTCCGGTGCTGGTTCGAGCTTTATTCTTCAATATAAACTTTGAGCCACTTCATAAGACTTTCGAGGTTTTTCTTCTAATTTCACTTTCAATATTTGCAGATTTATGATTTGCTCTATATTTGAAAAGTGTTATGATTTCCTGGATTTGACCTGGCTAATTCTTGATTTTGGTTTATTAAATTATGTCCATAAATCTCATTTTTCTGTATTTTGATTGCTAGTTACTCAATGCCAAGTCAAAAAGTTTGTTTCTTTCTTGCACTTTCAACTTAAGAAATTCTGGTTTCGGTTTGTTGGCCAAATTGCAAACGATTTGCTTTATAATATTTGCTTGTTGCTTTTATTTCTTCTTAGTGGTGGGCTAATTATGAATTAGGATGCAATGACTTAAATGGGTTCTGAGTGCAAGGATCAAATTAATTTGTTTTATATAATAATGGTATAATGCATTTCGCTTTGCGCCACCAAGTCCAATAAAGCCGTAATATATGTTCATGTATTGGTGGAGCTCATTTTCACAATTAACTGAGACCTTGTGCACCCTCTCGATTCTGGGTTGCTCCAAGATTAGTCCTTGCTATTGAAGATGGTTTTCGCGATAATATCTTGTCCATAACTCACGGCCTTTACAATAATCTCAAATTAGCTTTTAAGAAAAATAATTATGAATATTCGTAGCTTGATTTAGGCGCGATTAAATAAATCATCGTGATTATGAGTACGGTTCTCGTGGCATGGCCACGATACATAATCCCTAATTCGGGTGCGCATTTATGTAACCTAAATCCAAATCTCAACAATGTTGGATAAAATATGTTGCGGACCACGGGTGCATTTATGTGACGTGGTTGAAGACATGTTTTAGATGACGTTGAAACTTTCCTTAAAAAATAATTAAATAAAAGTGATTAAAAAGTTAAAATTGAACCATAGGTCGAAACATGTATTAAAATCAGATAATTAAGCCGAATATAACAGTTGAGCGACCGTGCTAGAACCACGGGACTCGGGAGTGCCTAACACCTTCTCCCAGGTTAACAGAATTCCTTACCCGGATTCTGGTTCGTGGATTGTAACACAAAGTCAATCTTTTCCTCGATTCGGGATTTGAATCGGTGACTTGGGATACCATAAATTATCCCAAGTGGCGACTCTGAATTTTTAATAAATTAATCCCGTTTCGATTGTCACTTTAAGTTGGAAAAAACTCCCTATTTACACTCCCTTCTCGGCGGTGTAGTGAAAAAAGGAGGTATGACAGCTCTAGCAACTCTGCTGGGGAACGAACCCAGAATCTCTGGTTCAGGGTTCAAGAATTCGAGCTTAGATGAATTGTTACATTTGGTTTTATCTATTATTTGATTTTATTACATGTTTGAGCCTAATGTGCTAAATGTTGCTTTTTACCGCTTTGATATTATCTGAACTATATATAAATTGCTACGAAACCCTTCTCTTCTCATCTTCGGGGATATGCACGCTGGTCGTGACTCCCTATTCTGTTAGTGTCATACCTTGAAATAAGAAAGAGGCTCGGACAAGTTACTAAGTCGGATGGCCTTTTGGTTCCCGGTACGTAGCCCCCTCCTCGGCTCGAGTTGTCCGCTCGGGTACACAGTCTAGAACACATACCCCGGTTTTGAACCTAGAATAACTCAGCCTCATGCCGGATCCCTAGTAGGAACGTTTGTTTGCATCATGTGCATTTGACTTTAGAGACTCAACACAGGGGTTGGGTCTGTCTATGATAAGTGTACCCGAAATGAAAAGACTCTTCTGATGCATCTTACGTGCTACTTGCGTATCTGTCTATTTTGGCTTTCATGCTGACTAACTTCTAGAATAGGGAAAGAAAATGAAAAAAAAGTGAAAATAAAAAAAAAAGAAAAGAAAAGAGAATGAGAGGTAGGTATTTGAATTACCCTGAAATTCTGTTGAAAGTTTGAAAAAAAAAAGAAAAGTCATTTCAAAATAAGTCATATTTTCTTTTGTTCCGTCAAAACTGGGCGAACTACGCGGGTCTGATTCTCACCAGATGTGAGATACGTAGGCAAACCTCATCGGTTCCGACCCATAATTTTCAAAAAATCCAAAAATATTTTCCTTTACTTCCTCTATAGAAAAGTTTTTTTTTGAGACCCCAATTTTCAAAATATCCAAAAATATTTTCCATTACTTGCTTATTTAGAAAGCCTTTCTTTTAGACCCTAATTGTTTTTTTTAAAAAAATGATACAAAAATATTTTCTCTTAATTTCTTCCAAAAATCCAAAAATATTTTCATTCTTCTTTCAAAATTGAAAAGAAAATTAAAAATTCAAAAATATTTTCTTTTTTTAGAAGCATTTCTTTCATAAATTCAAAATAAAATTCCAAAAATATTTTCTTTCGAAATTCCAGAAAAAAAATCTTTCTTCTTTAGAAGTCTTTCTTTGCAAAAATGCTGAAGAAAAATCAAAATCCAAAAATATTCCCTTTCTTCTTTATAACTATTTATTTCGAAAAATAAAATAAAAAATTCAAAAACAAAAAAGTTAGTTTATTTACTTTATTCATGATCTCCCTGAACTACGCAAGATCTGATTCATGTTCCCACATGATATGTAGGCAACCCACATCAGGTTCGATCAACCATTAAAAAGAAAAATGAAAAATGAAAAATGAAAAACAAAATGAAAAATATTGATAATAATAAGGACCGACTGAGTCCATTCTAACATGTTTTGTTTTGAATTGTGAAGAAAGTTGAGGTAGTCGGTTTGTGGTAAGCTAGAAACACAAGATCTGGGGAAAAATGATAACTGACATCGAAGTTGTTACAAGTGCTCAAGAGACTCAGGGTCAGAGGGTTNAAATTTGAAAAGTATAATGGACATGGAGATCCCATAGCTCACCTGAAAAGGTATTGTAATCAACTGAGAGGTGCAGGAAGAAATGAAGAATTGTTGATGGCTTATTTTGGGGAAA